AAAAAAAAAAAGCCAATAAAAGTCAAGAGATACAAACTTCCAATTATAAAATAAATAAGTCATGGGGATATAATGTATAGAAAATAGTATTGTTTTAACTTTGGACAGTGACAGATGTTAACGACACTTATTACACAATAAGTATGATCTCGTATGTAAATGTCAAATCACTTTGTTGTACACCTGAAACTAAATCTTGTATGTCGATTATACTGCAACAAAAAGTAATAAATAGAAGTAAAATAAAAATGAAAGCCATGGCAATTTTAGAACAGGCCTTTCCAAAATTGGAAACCAATCCCTACCCTCACTCAGCTCTGCTTCCCCTTCCTTTCCCTGGAAAAGCCATTGATGCAGTGGCACAAACACGGAGTTGAGCAGACTGCATATTAGTTGTGTGACCTTGGGCAAGTCATTCAGTCTCTTGTCTCAATTTTTGTCATAAGAAAAATGAAAACAGGGACACCCGGGTGGCTCAGCTGGTTAAGCGTTCAACTTCAGCTCAGGTCATGACTCGTCTGTCAGCCTGGAGCCCACTTCCGATCCTCTGTCTCCCCCTCTCTGCCCTCCCCTGCACACGCTCTCTCTCAAAAATAAATGTAAAATTTTTTTTCAGAACAATGAAAACAATAATGCCCATTTCACAGGGAAAAGGATTAAGTAGGTGATTGTAAAACAGGCTAAGCATTTATCTGGCACATCGTAAATGCTCAATAAATGCTCCCTTCCCCTTTATGCCATACTTAGCACCCCTTTGCTGTCGGCAGATGGTGGTAGCTCCCAGGCCTGCACAGCCCTCCCTTATCCCGGGCAAATAAAAGCTCCTGGCCTCCTGGGGGACTCCTCTTGTGTAACAGCCCATCCTGTTAAGGTGGGAGTCATGGCTGACCTAGGGGGAGGCGTGAAGACGAGACAGGAGCATGTGGACCTACACCTGTGATAGGGAGGGGGCTTGAGTGTGTGTGTGTGTGTGTGTGTGTGTGTGTGTGTGTGTGTGCGCGCGCGCGCACCTGTGCATGTATGCGATCAAGGCCCGAGGCCAGTGTCTCCCATCTGTTTCCGCTCTCCCCCAGCTATGACCGAAGCACCTTAGTGGCCATCGTGGTGGGCGTGGGGCGCCTCATCACCGGCATGGACCGAGGCCTCATGGGCATGTGTGTCAACGAGCGGCGACGCCTCATTGTGCCTCCCCACCTGGGCTACGGCAGCATCGGTGTGGGTGAGAGGGGTCGGGGCACCCGCACGGGGATGGAGGAGACAGGAGTCAGAATCGAGGACCCCAGGGCCAGAAAACTGAAGCGCAGAGCAGGAGAGCGACCTGCCCAAGGTCACACTGAATATGCAGTGTGGATAGTGGCAGGTCTGGGACTAGAATTTCAGTCCCCCGGCCCTGGAGTCGGGGGAAAGGCGATGACAGGGCCCTGGGTGGGATCCAAGCTTGACTAGGGAGAAGGGGCACTAGGAGTGGTGGAGGGAGGGGCCAAGCTGGACATTCAAATGTCCATTCCACCCACCACCCTGGGGCTGCAGCAAATGTGGTACCGCCTCTGATACAAGGTAAGGGCCGGAGGGAGTCCTGGGGCCCCAGGGACCGTGGCATGGCGAGGGGTCTGGGGGAGCTGCACCGAACGTGAGCTGTGGCTGCTGGACCCTCACAGCGGGGCTCATTCCCCCGGATGCCACCCTGTACTTCGATGTGGTCCTGCTGGATGTGTGGAACAAGGCAGACACGGTGCAGGTGAGCACCTTGCTGCACCCAGCCCACTGTCCCCGCACGGTCCAGGACAGCGACTTTGTCCGCTACCACTACAATGGCACGCTGCTGGATGGCACTGCCTTTGACACCAGGTGAGGGCTGGAGGGAGTCCTGGGGGGCCGGGGACTGTGTGGCATGATGTGGAGGGTGTCCGGGTCCCATCCGGCCTCTCCCATCTCCAGCAGCATCACTTCTACCTCATTCTCTGCAGCTACAGTAGGGGCGGCACTTATGACACCTACATCGGCTCTGGCTGGCTGATCAAGGGCATGGATCAGGGGCTGCTGGGCATGTGTCCTGGAGAGAGAAGAAAGATCATCATCCCTCCGTTCCTGGCCTATGGCGAGAAAGGCTATGGTGAGGGCAGGCAGGGACTCGGGGATTCCTCAGAAGAGGGCTGCCGTATACAGTTGTTCAGGTTGTGTACTGCACAAGGGCACTCAGCCAAGGAGGCAAGTAGGGTAGGGGTGAAATCTAGCTCTTGTGGTGATCCCACTAAGAAGGGGTGCTTTATCCTGATTCACACAATCATTTAGGATGGGCTGGTGGTGGCCCGGGGGAAAATCCAGCTCACGCCTTACAGGGAGAGCAAGAAACAGGGCTGCTGAGGGTATGGAAAGGTCTCTGGAGAGCAGAATTAGCACCTTTTTACAGGGTGCCCACATGGGCCTTCCTGAGTCAAGAAGGAGCCCTGGTTTGCTCTCCAGTTGTACCACTTGTATGGTTCAAGTCTATCCCTTCCCCAGGGACTGTGATCCCCCCACAGGCCTCCCTGGTCTTCCACGTGCTACTGATTGATGTCCACAATCCGAAGGACACCGTCCAGCTGGAGACACTGGAGCTACCTCCTGGCTGCGTCCGGAGAGCTGTGGCTGGAGACTTCATGCGTTACCACTACAATGGCTCACTGATGGACGGCACCCTCTTTGATTCCAGGTGTGTGGTTGGTGGCGGGGAGGCGGGAGGAAGGCCGAAGAAGCTGAGGCAGGATCTGGGGTCACCCTGGCCGCAGCTGGAGGTGGCTCCATCCTGCCTGGAAGGGCAGGGGCCCCTTTGACCCCCTGGCCCGCCCTCCCCGCCCTGTATTGCAGCTACTCCCGCAACCACACCTACAACACCTATGTGGGGCGGGGCTACATCATCCCAGGGATGGACCAGGGGCTGCAGGGCGCCTGCATGGGGGAGCGCCGGAGGATCACCATACCCCCCCACCTCGCCTATGGGGAGAACGGGACTGGTAGGCATGTCCCTGTGCTCGCGGTCACCGCCTCGGCAGCTCCACAGACTGCCCCCCCACCTCCCCAGCACAGGGCCGGTCCAGCCACCGCTCTGCCCCTCTCGCCGCGAAACCCATCACCCACCCACCTTCTGCCACACAGACTCCATCCTTTTCTCCAGGGGCCCTCCCCTCACTTCTCCCTTCAATCCTGGAGAAGGGCAGCCGACTCCTGAGCTGGGGAGGCGGGGGTGGCTATGGGAGGACAGAAACAGTGTAGCCCTAGGAAGCAAAGAAACCTGGACTTGACTTATGCTAACTAACTTGGATGTAAATTGAAAAATAAATAAGTTATTAACAAAAAAGAGAAAAGAAAGAAAAAGATGATTGAAAAAGGAAAAGAAGAAAAAAAAAAAAAAA